ACGACTGAAGTTCAAAGAGACACAAGTGCGGTATCATTTGGGACCATTCGGGACAGTGCCCGGTCCAATCCTGAGAGAATATTGACCGGCAATAGAGCATTTTGATTGGTTGATTTTAGTTATTGGCCCTCTGACTGCCCGAGTCGTGTAATAAAAAGATATCACGTGTTAGTTGAACCATCCTGTCGAACTAATACATAAGCACCTCTACTTTTTATTGAATTAGTCCAGGAGAGGATGAACTGCTATCCTCTCTTAAATTTGCCATGTTAGCGTAGATTAACATTTACGAGTGCACAGGTTTGTTGATCCAATAGTTTAATCGATTCATTGTTGCACCTGTAGCTCTAAAAAGACCCGTTTGTTTTAAGTGTGCCGCACTCTTTTCCCTCCCTGAAATATGTCAAATAAAAGATATTAGACAGGAGCATCCCCCCCCACCCCACTTTTCAGCGAAATCAGTCAAAAAACAGAAAACAAGAAAATTGACGTTAGAGCGGGACGCGAAACTCAGAGAGCGAGGCGCATCAGTACTTTTCGTGCGCCTCTCTCCTCGAGTTCCGCGCAAGGTGCTGAAATCAATTTTTTTTACTCGCTAATCTTTTTTCATTACCCTGACGGACACCGCTGAAAGGAGGGACTTCTCGTAGTCTAAAGTAATTCATCTTGAAGTGACAAAAGCCTGGTTTACATATTTCCCTTCGAATTTGCGTTTAGGTAGGTAGGTAGATGGAAAACACTTCCGTCTGTTTCAGAAATAGAAACGGAAACATGTACGGAGCCCAATGCATGTAGTAATACAATCTTGGGATGCCGGGTTGTTTAACAGATTAAAGTTTTTACGCGGGGGGATGCCAAGGTTTATCCCCAGTCCCATTTCATTTTTATTTTAAGTAACCTTTGCTACTCCTTAGACGAAACAGCCCTTAGAAACTACCTCACGAATAGTTCATGATGGAGAAAGAGAAAAAAAATACCATCCTTTTTACTCCATTTAGTCAGTTATAGTTTTCCTTTCAATACCTAAACTCGAAAAAAAAAGGGTGTCACTTTCGGGCGAAGTATATTCCCGTTTAGTATAAAACTACTAGCGCTCTATCACAGACGCTGCAAACTGATTGGCTACGTTACCCGCTATTGATTCTGTGGTAGATAGTGGGTAAAGTTAGGAGAAAAACATAACTTAGCCTTTCTTGTTGATAATTTTTGAACGACTAGTAGATTTATATTATCACGCGATAGAACACTAAAGTTTATCAGTCTAATTGTTAAGTAGTCTGCTACAGAAAATATCCCCTTTCCCACCCCCTGAGGATATAAGTCCGATACCATAGCGCTATTTCTGACATGTCCAGGTTTCCCAGACTCCGAGGGTACTGGCATGCCTGCACGTGATACCATTGTAACAGTATCCACACCTGCTCGAACACCCTTTGTTTTCGACTAGGTGTTTCTTTCCATTGCTGGCCTTAAACATCAATTTACATCTGGGCTGATATTTCTTGTTACAAATACACTGAAATGCAACAACGGTGTTGGATTTAGTCCATAACCCGTAACAATAACCAAAATGAGATTAAGCTCTCTGACCCTCACGGAACAAAATAAGAAAATTTTCTATCTAACATTATTGACCACGGTTTTTGATTGAAAGAAAGAATAACAGAAATTTTTCGAAAGTAATTTAAGTAATTCGCGACTGAATTTCGCTCTGTGATTGTTCAATTAAACTCGCGCCACTCTCTCGATCAAAGAGCTTTAAAACTAAAACACCTGGCGATCGTTGCCAGGAATCTCGGAGAGATCAGCCAGAATATGGCTGGTCCTCCTCCCCTCCCCCGCCAATACGCCACCCACGTAAGCCTCTGCAAGCCTCGACCTGATGTTCTCTACCCAGACCCTTTTCACCGAGCATATCTTTTTCTGAGTTTCTTTAAGACGCAGAATCATCATTCGTAAATTAAGCAAAAAGCAAATAGAAGAAATTCAACCAAAGAGTTTCGAAAAGAAGACTATACGAATAAAATCTTACAGATCCAATTTTGTTTCTTTTTCAGGTTTAAAAAGAATTGAAGAAAGAAAACTCTTAGCTTGTTTTCTAATTTTAATTTAATAACGATACAACCTCTCTTTTCTTTTTTTTAACAGAAACCACACTCCGATTCTGAGCTGTATTTTCATCTTACTGCTTCGTTTTGTATGTTCTGATGTAACGGCAAGCGTTGTTTTATGTAATTTTCTAACGAAATCGAATCACACGAAGCGTTACTTTTCTCATCTATGCGAAATTAAGTTTAATTATGAAAAACGTGGTCCAGAAAAAATTGATTTCTCTTCCGGATTCAAAAACTTTGTTGGACTCCATCCGGAAAAACAATTCAATACATATACCATATTTTTTCTAATTCAACAGGCTAAACCAGCTTGCGATATATAGTTGGTGAATAAATGAAAGTAGTTTCATAAATATCTTATCGCGTGATTATTTGCACTGTCTTATGAAACATGATATATTCTGATACGCGTTGCGTACGTCTAACACAGCTACGACTGAAACTTGGATAAAAAGCTGTCTACTGCAAAACATCCTGCAAGTGAGGCACATTCTCATAGAAATTTGCGTGAAGACGAAGAACAACACACCATGCAGGCCAGAGAGTGAACAGCACCAACGGGGAGCAATTTGCTTATGAAATCAATGAAAACGACCCTGGAGGAGGTTTCCCTTACGCTTTTAGATTTTGTCTAAAGTGGTCTTTTAAGATAATCTGGGAATAGTTTTGGGCTTGGAATCAATACATTACAAAATTGAGGAACGCGTGATTTATCTGTGTTGCTCACCTTTGGTCGGATCCACCTTCTCCTTCGCCAACTAAAACTCAACGACATTTGCAATGAAAGTATCAGAAACAATACCAGGAACCACTTCCATGTACAAACCATTGTTGGAAATTCGTTTCTGTTCAGAAAAGGATTGAAATGTTGGTGTTCAGCTGTGAAGTAGAGAAATCTTGAGCTTTAAAATTAATTTTCTAACAAGCGGCTAAGAGAGGATAACTATTAAACTGGCTGTACATGCCTGTTTTAAAAAAATGAGTGCTAGATCCAGATTACGCAAACGGTTCAAAGTTTCTTTGAAATAAACCGACAAAATCTGTTGCTCAGTGGTTAATTAGTACTGTTGTCGGAGGAAGCATAAATACTCAGTGTCGAAACTTGTATTTTGCGCAATCAAATAATAACTTGGAAAAACGACAATTATTACCAAAGAGTCATAGCTGAATTATCTCCTTTTTGGACAAACAAAACACTAACCAAATAAATAGCTACTTTAATCGCCGAAATAACCTAGTGTATGAGTGTAACCTAGGCTTCGTAATGTATTTCGCAAGAATGATCTTCATTTTCACTTGATAAAGTACATTTGTGACGTCAATGCAATTACTTCCATTGGTTGTAAAAGAGATTTTTAATTTCGTTTATGAAATTCTCTCCCGAGAACTTCAACAGTTCTCTCTGTGTAAAATCGGAATAATTTTAGCCCTGTTGTTATGGTTTTTTTTTTGCCGTTAATTTACGCGCACCGCGCACGTACAAGTAAACACAGGGATTTCTCAAGTCATAACCTGTCAAATTTTTATACTT